CTGAGTTGAGGGAAGAAAAGTTGCTGGAGATTGTAATGTGGTGATGGTGTGAGAGCAGAGTCTGGCATTATGAATCTGGAGGCTATACAAAAATATTTGTTGTGTGGATTTTTTTTTCATGAAACACAGAGGGTATGCTGGATTGGGATAGGAGCGAGCTTAGGGTCATGCAGGTGTACAGCGTGTGACATGGCTGATGATCTTACAGTACAGACCACGGGCTGTATGGTTTTGGTAGTTTTTGACTTGAATCCAATTTATTCTTGGTTTGGTTTAGGTAGATGTATTTCACTTAAGGGGGTGTAGGTGTATTTATCACAGTTTTATCAATGTATCAGATATTTATCATTATCAGATTATCAGAACCATCCCCGGAATCTCCGGTGCTCCCAGGTTGGGTAGGCTAGCACCGAACTCTCAGGTGTTCACAGGTCTGTCGGGCTTATGGGGGACCCTACCCGGGAAAACGGCCGTGTTGGCCGTTCCCGAGATAACCCCGGTTAGGGCCGAACCCCCATAGACCCCCCCCACCCTAGCATGTACCTCGTTGGTTGGAGGATATGTTAGCATGACTTGTAACAATGGGAGAGAAAGAAATTAAACAACTGAATACAGTTAGTAAATAACAAGACGGCTATAGAGCACGATAGAGGAGTAGATGGATGAGCCTTATGGCTCCGAGTGATGATATGGAGTTTTTTCAAAAGGCCATCATGTATGCCCAAACACTCGGTATGACGGTTATGTAAGAAATAAGCATGTTGTAATGCAAATGCTCATTGAAATGCCAGAAACAGACATGCGATTCACGAGATCCCACCTGTGTCGAAAGCGGGATAAACGGAATAGTCATGGTCAAATATGGCAAAATAGATGATAGTCAACAGATAGGTCTCAACGGCATATCTAGCACCAAAGAGATGAGTGAGATCTCGTATGTGCCGATGTGACTCTATTCTAGGAATTGATGTTAAATGTGCGCCGCAAAGGGACAACGCAGGACATTTATTTGAAGTCACAAACATAAAATCCAATCATCATTGTTCGTCTTTTACATAAATTTCATTTCACCATCTTCTAAAGTAACAAATTGATCAATGCATTCAGGTAATTCAACTCCAAATTGATGTGAAACAAAAATCAAACTTTGCCAATCCTTTAACTTGAAATTTAAATAATCTTTAGATTTCTGTAAACTTTCATCATCCATACCTGCAAAAGGTTCATCTAAAATCAATAAGGAAGGTTCATTGATTAATGATCTTAATAAAAGTATTAATGATTGTTCTCCATTTGAAAGTTCATTAAACGGTTTATTCAAAAATGATGGATTTAATAACTCTGGGTAATCGAATTCTTTTAACAATTCATCTAAACGCGTGGATTGAGTTGAGTCAATTGATCTATAACTGAAAACTGATTCAAATCCTGTGATGATACAATCTAAAGCTGTTAAACTGCTGGGTCCTGTTTGCCTTGGAAAAGCATGAAATATTTCAGGTGAAACATGTCCTATATTGGATTGTACTAAGATTTACAAGAAAAATCTATCAGATTGAAGCTCGACAGTACCACAAAGATCAAAAGAAATAAAAGAAAACTTAATTACTTTGAGACGTAGCTTGACCCGCGCGTGGTCGACCAAATAAGTGTAGATCTTCTGTAAACGAACGAGGATGATCACCTAAGATGAGAGAGAGAAGGGTAGATTTTCCAGAACCTTCGAAAAAAATGAGAATGACATGTTTAGATACGTTTCAGTTGTTATTATCAAAGG